GGAGACAGACTGGAGCCTCAGCAGCACCCCGGGCTGCTCCTGCCTGGTGCCGTCCATGCCACTGCTGTACTGTCACCCAGGGCGGGACCACAGCTTCTCACAGTCACTGCAACTGAGGCACTTCTGCTCCTCCCCAAGTCCCACGCCGCCGCCTAATGGCCACTATTGTCATTGCATGGCCAATGGCCTGACCAGGAGGCATCACAGCCCAGCACCTTTAGAGATGAGACTACAATCACGAATTACCAAAGATATAAAGAATGCAAAGCCCATGAAAGAGGGGCAACATGTAAAGAGCCTACCCAAAGTAAAGAGTTCACAAGACAATCAGAAAAATTCCTTAAAATGCTATATATTAACACCATTTGAGTTACAAGCAATTTTGGAAGATCCTACTAGAAAACTTTAATCTGAACAATGTGATAGTCAACAATGAAACAAAAACTCACAAGAGCTGGGCAGAGGGGCAGACTGGACACAGACGGAAATGTATTCGTGAGCATGGGAATTAAAAGATGGAATGTGTAAATGCAAAGTTTAGAGATATAATGAATTAACTCAGATATGTATTTCTAAATCCATTTAATAGGAATTCCAGAAAGAAAGCATGAGGAAGATTGTGCTCAGATAAAGTTGGTAGAGAATTTCTTAGAGCTTCAAAAAGACATAAATCCCCAAAATTGAAAGAACTCACTGATATTTTTTAAGGTCACACTTAAAAAAAAAATCATAGTGAAACATTTGAAAATCTAAGACAAAGTGAAAGCCCTAAAAGTTAGTCAAATTACCTAGGAATAAGAATTCAACTGATATCATATTACCAATCGCAATATCAAATGCAAGAAGGCATTCATATCTGTAAGTTTGATCCAAAATTGCATACTCTTCATAAGTCAGGGCAAGAAAAGACAATTCCAAACATATAAAAACTCAAAAAGTTTGCCAGCTATGGACCCTCTATTAAAACACTATTTAGCCCTGACCAGTTGGCTCAGTGGATAGAGCACCAGCCTGCAGACTCAAGGGTCCCAGGTTCGATTCTGGTCAAGGGCATGTATCTTGGTTGCGGGCACATCCCCAGTAGGGAGAGTGCAGGAGGCAGCTGATTGATGTTTCTCTCTCATATATGTTTCTAACTCTCTCTTCCTCTCCCTCTCTGTAAAAGATCAATAAAATATATATTTTTAAAAACTATTTAATTTTGGAATCCAACAAAAAGGAAAATAAACTCAAAGGGAAGGAGTTATAAGCAATGACGAACAAATAAATCAGTAATATATATTGGAAAGCTGAATTAAATAACTATTTTGAAGTTTGCAATACACAGGAAATAAAATTCAGGTAAGAGCCCCTAGTTAGTGGGGTGGGTGGGAAAGTTTGGGTGTGTGGGAAGCAGGATGTTGGACAGGAAACATGTTAGCATGCTAAAGTTCTTGTGTTATTTGGGGAGAGAAAATGGAGACTGCCTGGCTTTTTTTTAAAAAAATGGAATTTAAGCCCTCGCAGGTTTGGCTCAGTGGATAGTGTTGGCCTGTGAACTGAAGATTTCTGGGCTTGATTTTGGTCAAGGGCTCATGCCCAGATTGGGGGCTCAATTCCCAGTGTGGGGCATTCTCTCTGATTGTTGATGGTTTTCTCTCCCCCCTCTCTCCCTTCCTCTCTGAAATAAAAAAATATTTTTTAAAATTGGAAGTTTAAGTATTAAAAGCTTAATGAGAGCCCTAAACTGGAGATAATCTAAATTTCCATCAGCAAGTGAATGGATAAACAAACTGTGATATATCCATAAATTTTTACTCAGCTGTAAAAAGAAACGAACCAGACACGTACAACAACGTGGATGAATCTCAAAAGCATTCTGTTGAATGAAAGCAGCCAGACAAAAAAGAGTGCACAGTATAGCGACAGAGAGCAGATCAGTGGTCACCGGGACTGGGAGGGAACACAAGAGAACATTTGAAGGTGGTGGAAATATTCTACATCTTTTCTTTTTTAATATATTTTTATTTCAGAGAGGAAGGGAGCGGGGGAAAAAGAGAGACAGAAACATCGGTGATGAGGGAGAATCTTTGATCGGCTGCCTCCTGCACGCCCCACACTGGGGATGGATCCTGCAACCTGGGCAGGTGCCCTGACAGAAGGCCTGTGAGCTCCTGGTTCATAGGTCGATGCTCAACCACGGAGTCATGTCGGTTGGGCTTATATCTTGATCATAGTGATGGTTCCATGTGGATATAAATCTTACACTTCATTCCTTTCTACCTCCCAACCCTCCCGCCCTTCTTTCCACCGGCTCCTCTTTCTTTTTTCTGCAGAAGGCTCTTCTGAATGCCTGGAGACCTGTCTGAAGAAGCCACATCTAAGGAGCAGGAGCCAAACTGGCCTCCCAACTCCTCACTCTCATTGGCTCCCACATTTAATCCTGGGGATGTTTCCTCATTCTGTAGCTGAGATTACCCCTGCACCTGCTGACCAAGTTCTTGGCTATCACACTGGACCAGCCTCCCCCGTCCTGACCTCCCAGTGTGTCTCATCATGTCTTTCAAAACCTGATAGGAGCCAACATGGCTTTTCCTGTGCGCCTGTGAGAATGAAGGCACCAACCAGCTCTGCACAAGCCCACGTGCCCGCTTTCTTCACAAAACTTGCTGGCTTGGGAAGGCGAACTCCACTCCCACCACCCTGGGGGTGGTGATCACATAGTGAAGCAGAGGCCCTGCTGTACACGACTTTTCATATACGTTTGCATTTTTCTTGGGAGAAGGCTTTCATGGGCTTTTAAAAAAGATCCAAGCAGGTTAAGAGTAGACTGTTATATACCTTTTCGTGGTTGGTAGGTAGTGATTCATCTCTTTAGGCTGTAGGACCCATTCATTTATTTGTCAGATATTTACTGAGCACCTACTATGTGCCAGCTTCTGCTCTGAGCACTGGGGATACAGCAGCAAACAAAACAGACACAGATTTCTGCCCTTGGGTCAGAGACAGCCTGAGACTGTGTGAAGCATTAAAATGAAACAGACTAGAGGTTCTGAGTTTTGAGCCCTAGGAAGGTCTAAGAATTCTGTGAACTTTATGAGTTCGAGTCCTAAGAAATCTATGAAGTTTTAAGTTACAAGCTCTTTGGAGGCTCCAGTAACAAGTTATTGCTGATGGTGGGCGCAGTAGTGGGGTGACAATTGCCATCACAGGAGCTCAGGGACCGGCCTGGGGCTGCCCCAGAGGGAAACTCTTCCTGCTGAGCTGAGAGCAGGGGCGTTGGCCTAGGATGAGCAGCAATGGTGAGGAGGCAGGAGAGAACCAAGCTGACCCCACCCCATGCCAGCAAAAAGCACTTCGAGGCCCAACTCCCTCAGTCCTCCAGCTCGTGTCCAGCTGGAGGCTGGGGGTGCCAGGCCAGGCCAGGCCAGGCCAGGGACAGAAGTCGGAACCCAGCTGCCTTCTTTCCAATGGAAGCCAGAACCAGGGTCTTCTTCTCAGAGTCAGCATGCGTGTGGCTTCCTCGCATACGAGTAGGTGTCCTGGCTGAAAGAGGAACTGAGAGAGAGCATGCGCGTGAAGAGGAGGTGCCGCCAAAGAGCGCACTCCAGGTAGAGGGGGCAGTAGGAGCGATGCCAGCTGGGTCAGGGAAGGACCCCAGGCGACCAAGGGCAGGGCTGAGGAGAACGAGGCAGCGAGGCTGCAGGCAAGGGACCTGGAGAGCTCCCAGACCAAGCTTGGTCAGTGATCCCTCCACAGACCTAACATCCGCCCACGCTGGAGAGGCTCCAGGCATTCCGAGTGTCCCAGGTGGGTCGGGAGAAATGAGAAGCCGGGAGAGAGAGAGATTGCCCAGATCATCGGTCTAGTCCGTGGAAGAGGCAGGAACCAACGCGCCCGAGTTCCCGGCCAGGCTCCCTCTGCCGCTGCGCAGCCCGGGCCAACAGGCAGCTGCTCTGCGGCCTGCCCTCCCTTGGAACACGCACATACATGCAGGGGCACTTCACTCTGACCCTGACACAGGGAGACGCCCCTAGACACACCCTGCTGGGAATGGGGAGACGATGTGCATGGGTGGGAGCTGCGCACGTGACGAGGGAATGAGGCCCAAGTCTGAGAGTGCAGTGCGAGTGGTTAGCAGGGAGACGGTGTGCACACCCACCCGCCGGGGCTGGCCAGGACTGGCCATCACCCCACGGCCCGAAGGAGGCCAAGCAGAGAAAGGCCGCGAGCAGTGAGGCTGGCTAGGGGCTAGCAAAAGGAAGGTTAGCAGAAAGGATGAGGGAGCCCAGCAGCATCGCTCAGTGGTTGAGTGTCCACCTATAAACCAGGTCACGGTTTGATAGTCAGGCCACATGCCCAGGTCACAGGCTTGATTGCTCGTGTGGGGTGTGCAGAAGGCAGCCAATCAATGATTCTCTCTCATCATTGATGTTTCCATTCTCTCCCCCTCTCCCTTCCTCTCTGAAATCAATAAAAATATATTTGGGAGGGGAAAAAGGATAAAGTTAGTGACCCAGACTGGCAACCCATGTGGTCCCCCTTTATTCTTGAAAGCACTCACACTGCACCGGGAGCTGGGGACAGGGCAGGGGCTGGGAGGAGAGGGGGTCAGGGATTGGGCCATGTGTGTATTGGATGGATGCCTCTTAGCTTTTAGCCTCAGTGTAAGGAGAGTAACCTGCACCTCAGCACTCACAGCCCCCATTCTGCATGTGGGGTGGGCCCTGGGACTAGACTATTGCTTCGATCCCCTCGAAAATGAGCACTGCTCACTTCTGCCTCACATCCCCAAGAGCCCCCAAGAGACCTATTGCCCCATCTTATCCCAGAAACACATATGAGAAGGGCTCTGCCAAGTACAAGCTGGAATCCTATAGGAGCTTTTGGAGCCTGGTGGACCTTAAGGCAGGGGAGATGCAAGAAGCCCCACAGAGCCCTCCCTCTACCCTGGTCTGGAGCCCCCCAGTCCCTCCTGCACCAAGCCCTTGGCTCCAGCCCGGGTCAGCCTCCAGCCCAGGTCAGTCTCCAGCCCGGGCCCCAGCCTGCCGCCGGTCCAGAGCCAGCTGGAGGGCCTGTTTGATGGTCCCCACATTGTTCAGGACGTTGTATCGGCTCAGGGCTACCAGCCGATCAAACTGCTCGGGCTCATAGGTGAAGTTTATCATGCCGTAGGGGGTGTCTGGCCCGTTGATGTCAAAGTCCCCAAAGGCCTTCTCTTCCGCTGTTTGCCGCGCCACACCTGAGGGTTGGAAGAGGAGAGACCAGGCTGGCACTCTGTACTAGGAGTGGCCAGCCCAGGAGCCTCCTCTTGCCCAGGACATCTGGCTGGTTTTTGTGGGCTCTTCCTGGGCTCCCATCTCTGCTCTCTTCCCCATCAGGAGGAGCTGAGGCCCAGGAAGCAATGGCCGGCTCGGGCCCTCCAGGGTACCCTGCTTGCTGCCTTGTCAAGGGGATCCGCTCCCAGAGCAGCACCTCACCACCACCCCAGGGCTCTGCGGGCCAGGCCCAGGCCCAGGGCTCCCCCTCACCTGGAGCCCGGTGTGTGCGGAAGGTCCGGTTGACCAGGGGGAAGTGCAGCACGAGGGGGGCGCGGGGGTCCTCGGCCCTGGCAAACAGGTAGCACTCGCGGGGGTTCTCCAGCTCCTCGGCGGGCACCTCGATCCTGGGGAAGGGGATGCCTCGGTCCAGGCAGTACTTCTCCGTCACCTGTAAGACCTGGGCGGGAGGCAGACTGCTGACCTGCCTGCCCCCACCTGGACTCACACAGGTCCCGTTCTCAAGGCCAGCGCTGCCTGCTACTAGCTGAGTGACTTCAAGCAGGTGACATAACCCTTCTGAGCCAGTTTGTTTATTTATAAAGTAAACAATGAGAACAACTCTCTCCTGGGGTTGTTGTGCAGATTAACAAAAATCACCAGCATTCCTGCTGCCATTCCTCCCTAGAACTGCCCACTGCTTCCTCCTCTAACCCTCCCCGCTCCCTCTTAGGGGCTGATTTCAATTTCACGGGTTGAGAAGGTCGTGTTGGATCCAAGAGGAGGAGGAGGGAGAGGAGGCCGAAGAGGGAAGAGCTGGCCCAGCAGGGTAACCAGGACCTGCATGCAGATGGTGACAGCTGTCCACCACAGGGTTTGAGAGAGCCCTGAGGGGAACCTGATGGCTCTGTTGTTACCATAGCAACAAAGGGACAGCTGGCCCAGTCCAGGCCCCGACGGGAGCAAGGAATGCTATCAGGCACAGGCAGGGTTCAAACAGGGGTCTTCTCTTCACCAGGACAGAAGACACCTGAGGCCTCTCTTTGGCCCCCTCTCCCGACTCCCAAAACCTCAGCAGCCCTCTCCTCCAACTGGGAAGCCAGTGCACTCCCAATGGCGCCCCCTGTGGGTTAGAACCCAGACCCCCCCACTAAGGGCCATCCCCAAACCCCAGTCAGGCGGCCCTGGACAGAGGATCCCCACACCCCTTACCTCAAAAGGGGCGTCCAGGGAGTAGTCAAAAGACACAATGAGGTCCACCGCTCTCTGGGGCTGCAGGACCAGCGGGTATGGAGAGTTGATGGCAAGGCCCGCATCCACCAGGCACAGGGAGTCCTTCATGGGAGTGAGCTGGTTGGGGAAGGCGTCCGGGTGTGTGTCTGGGCAGGGACAAATGCACGCTGCTCTCAGCAGCCCTCTTCTCTTCCCGTCGGGAATGCCGCTTGTGGAGACCGCTGCTTCTGCCCTTCTCTCTGCCAGCCACTCTGGAGTGCCCTTCCCCAGGCCCATCCCCCATCAGCCTCTGGAGAGCGGGACCGACACCCCAACCCTGGGCCAAAGCACAGCGCTGGCCCCAGTGAGCCAGAGGCACCGGCAGCAGGGGGCCCCCCCAGAGCAGCACCCACCTTTCCAGGCCACAAACTCCCTGCTCGCCACGTAGTCCCTGTGCAGACAGAGGCCGCGGGTGAAGTTGGAGTTGTCCGCGGAGGTGAAGCGGGAGGTGAAGATGCCCAGCACGGCCTGGGCGAAGGGCCCCTGGGGGGTGGAGAGCCTCGTCCGCAGCCTCGTGGGGTCTCGGAGCTTCTGGTGGTCGTCTAGGCAGGGTGGGCCGGTGACGCGCAGTGAGAAGGGGTGCCAGCCTCTGTCCGGTGGCTTTCCCGGTGCAGGGGCACCCCTACTCCTCCTCCCGTCACCCCTCCTCCTCTGCCCCACTTCCCAGGCCTCCGACCACCGTCCCTACAACCCCCTCTAAATGCCTTTTCCCCATGTTTTGAAAGTTGCCTATGACACTGCATTGATTAAATAATAATTGATTTCCCACCCTTTTGAAAATAAAGTGGCATATACCATTTCCAACCAGAATTCCGTCCACTAAGCACCTCCCGAGCTGTTGCTACATGCCAGGCACTGGGTTAAGCCCGAGGGATGCAAAGGCGAGTGGGGCCTGGCCCTCGGGGCTCACACCTTCCTGGCAGGGAGTCATATAAAGAGGGAACGGACCCTAACAGCGCACTGAGGGAGGGACAATGATGGGGCATGCACATGGTCTCACAGGGACCGTGGTGGTCGCACCCTCACCAGCCTGGAGGGATGACACGGGACAGAGAAACTTCCTGATAAAAGGATGGCTCCGCTGACTCTTCACAGTTGAGCAAAAGTCATCCCGGGGAGAAAGGTGGGAAATATAGTTCTCGAAGCCCGGAGCTCAGAGGCCATTTAAGGAGCCCAGAGGTGTGTGGGCGGAGCCTCCGCCAGACGCCCAGTGGTCTGGGGCTGAGCTGACCCATTGGGAGCTCAAGCAGAGAATGCAGAGGGGTGGCCTGATTGCAGAACACCCACGGCTCCCATGGGCCCCCTGACTTGGCCTCTGCAGAGAAGTCGACCCCACAGGACTTCTCTGAGCCCAGTGGGACAGCAAGTCCTCCACCATCCTCCCCCTCACTCTCTATGCCTCTGCCAGGGCCCTGTGTCTGGAAAGAAGAATGGGGGGGGGGGGCAAGAGGGGGCAGGTGTGAACCCTCACCTGTGACCTTCACTTGGCCTCGGTGCCAGTCCAGGAAGCCGAGGCTGAAGCCCCCCGTCTGGAAGATCTCATCCAGGTTGACCGCGAAGGCGCTGCCCCACATACCTACAGACACAGCAGGGCCAGCCCTCACAGCGCCCGCACCCACAGCAGGGCCGGGCCGGGCCTGCCCTGCCCCCAGCCCCCGGCTCAGACTCACCCTGCAGGTAGCAGATCCGGGGCTCCGGCCAGCGCTTCAGCAGTCGCCCCATGAAGAACTCTGAGCCGCAGAGCTTGGTGGGAACATAAGCCCCGTATTTGGGGAAGCCGACCTCGTGGGGGGTGAACTCGCACCACTCTGGGGACCCAGAGCAAAGGAAACGTCACCGGGGCTTCCCACCAGGACCCCAGGGCTCCCTCTGGCCATCGTGACTGAGCAGGAACCTTTGCCAAGAGTGGGAGGCAGCAACCCCACTGTGCCCCAAGCCTCCGTCTGCACCCTCACAGCCTGGCCTTTCACACTCTCGGACCAGCCATCGCCGCCACACCCGGGCACCTGCAAAGTCGTCCCCGCTGACATCGGTGCGGACGTTGACCCCGGCGTAGATGGGATAAGGGTTCTGGCTGCGGCTGACTGCCTCCTGCTGGTCGGACAGCTTGGCGGGGTTTTCCTGGGCAGGAAAGAAGGGAAGCGGATTCATTGGCTTTTCCCATCCCAGTGGCCTGCAGGAGGTGGCGAGCCGGCGAGACTGGCTGCCAAGGCCAGTGGTCCAGGGGACAGGCCTTAGGCTGCAGCAGAGGCAAGGCTTCTGTGGGTTCTGTGCAGTCTCAGGGGCAATGGGGAAACCCCCTCCCCTTCCTTCCCATTCAGGAAAGCGTATCAAAACCAGAGAGAGTCAGAGCGCCATTTTTAAAGAAATCACTGAAAATCTAGTCTCCTTTCTTTACAAAGTGAATCACTAGAAGACATGAATCCTTTGGAAATTAGAAGCCACGGGTGATACACATCCATCACTGAGAACCACACACTAGAGGGCCACGCCCCCTGGCTGAGACCCTCAGCTTGAATCTCCTCTCCCAGGGCATTCTGGGCTTGCAGTCCCAGGAGAAACCACCAGGTGGCGAAAGTCATGGCATCTTGGCCAATGGGTGAGAGGAGTGGTCTGCCTTGGCCGCAGGTTGGAATCACTTGGAACACTTTGAAAACACTTCTGTGCTAGCGCTGGGCCCCAGACCAATCAGAATCAGTGTCTCTAGAAGCAGGGCCCAGGCATGGGGTGTTTTTGAAAAGCTGCACAAGTGATTCTGACCTGAAAACTGCAGACCGGCCTCTCCTGCTCAGGGTTAGGAGCCAGGAAAGATGAAGGGGTGTAAACCCCTCTCCCCTCACCCCAGGAAGCTCACTCTTTGTCCCCAGGGAGCTCAGACCTAAGGGGTAGCTTTGCAAATCTCAGATTTTCTTAGCCTAGCGGCTAAGGTGGAAGTAAGTGCTGCAGGGGCAGAGTGGAAAGGAGCTATGCTTCCGTGTTACCTGCCCTTCTCTTACCTCCTGGTGCAGGAAATATTCAATGAGGAGGCCCCAGAGGTCAATGAGGGAGACGCTGTGGCTGCTTTCCAGGTTCTTCAGTTCCTCAGCATAGTACTGCAGGCGCTCCGTGGATACCGCCCCCTTCTTACTGCTGCAGACCCGGGCCCGGGCCTGCTCAGTGGGGCCCTGCAAGGCCACGTGGGACCAAGCTGGGTCCTTAAAGAGCGTGGAGATGCACCTGGGCATGGAGGGAATTCAGGGCAGTTAGGGGCGGGTGAGCACAGCAGGTGTCTATGAGGGACCCCTCCTCTCCATCATCCCTTGTACCCACTGCCCTGAATCACCCACTCTTACCCTTCTCGATCCCCCTGGAGGCAGCCTTCCCCACCCCACTCCAGGGACTCCACCCCTGCCCCTTCAGGGCTCTCCTTCCCTCTGTACGCTGCCCCCACCTCGCTTACCAGGTAGACCCGGAGACCCCACTCAGGTAGGTCACAGTGTCCAGGAGACTGAGCTCCTGCAGCCCTGCCAGGCTGCCGTACAGGGAGGACATGGCGCGGGTTCCGCCCCCAGAGCCCAGCACGGCCACCACGGGCACCTGGGTACAGAGTGAGCACGATGACAACACCGACTACCACCGCCATTACTGCCTGTGCTGCTGCCTATAGCATCAGACCTGGATCCGCACACTGTTACCTCACTGGGCCTCACAGAAACCCAAGGAGATCCCTGTGTTTGAGATGAGGGGACTGCACAGTGAGTAAGTGATGGGCCGTCATCCAAAGCAATGCGGCTCCAGAGATGGCTCTTAACCCTGACACCATGAGAGGATGCACCTGTGAGGCATGTTGGATTCACCCGAAATAGCTAAAGTGGGGTTTCTCCGTGTTGCCACCACTGATGGTTGTGGACCAGATCATCCTTGGCTGTGAGGAGCTGTCCTGTGTGTTACCCAGTAGCTGCCAGTGTTACCCTTCTCCCCTCCCCCAGGTGTGGCAATAAAACATGTCCCCGTGTGAGGTGAGAGGGGTTGAAACGGCGCCCAGATGAGACCCACTACACTAAAACAACAGAAACCACCAAGCAGCCTGGACCTGCCCCAACATCAGAGGTGCCTGTGGGGTCAGACTGGAAGTTTTTTGGTTGCTCAGTTTTTCCATGAATGTTTTCCACCCAAGATTGTTGGTTCCTTTCCTTGTCCTCCTTTATTTTTTTTCTTTAAAAAACACACAAAACAAACAAAAAACCCTAAAACACCTCATCGGCCACTTTCAACAAGGGCAGCGCCCCCGGATGAGACAGAGCTCCCTGTCTGTGCCCTCGTGCCCTCCTTACCTTTACCTACAGAATGGAGAGGAGCACAGAGCAGGCCTTACCCAAAGGAACAACCCCGGCTTGCTCAGCTTGTCAGTGCTGGGCACAGGCTTGTCTCCTGAGTTCACTTGCAGCCAGGAAAACGGCACCAGCTTGATCCTGGTTTACCACAGGTCTCACTTCAGCACCGCCTTTCCTCCTGTCTACTGTTTTGGACTGAATTGTGTTCCTGCCCTTCCCTCCCACCCCCAGCCCCCAATTCAAACATTGAAGCCCAGTGTGGCTATTGAGGAGAGAATAGCATTAGGGGGAAATTAATGGGGTCTCTTCTCAGCCTTACTGCTGCATTATTCACAGAACCTGAAGCTTGAGGAAAACTTTTAAACTTCAGTCCTGCATTTGGCAGATTACAGGTACACAGATTACCATCAGTACAGTATCCACGGTGCCTGGACTCCAGACAAATGTAAGACCTCCTCAAAGACAGCTTCTCCATGACCAGATGGCCTGGTGCCGGCATGACCACCTGAACTCCATTATCGTCCATCGTAATGGGCCCGTCAGATAGCTAAGAGTGCAAGGCCCCTTTCTCTCTTGAGATTCAGTTGCATCGTAAAAATAAATGATTTTTCTTTGTTTCTTAGAACGTATCTAGATTTATTCCTAATTATGTGTCCAGTTTCTAAGACCCTTGAATAGATCTCCACCTTTTATTTCTAGCCAGAGCCTTCTCTTTTTTATTACATGTGACACTGTGTTTGGAGAAAGGGCCTGTAGGGAGGTGGTACAGGTTATGTGAGGTCATAAGGGTGGGGTCCTAATCTAATAGGACCAGTGTCTTTGTAAGAGGGAGGGATGGCCGAAACCGGTTTGGCTCAGTGGTTATAGGGTCGGTCTGCGGGTTCGATTCCGGTCAGGGGGGCATGTGCATTGGTTTCGGACACATCCCCAGTAGGG